ATATACAGAGACAATACAGAGACAGGGACAACACACAGAGACATGCAGACACACAACCCAGACACAGAGACGACACAAACACAGACACAGCAGAGATGACACCCAGACACAACGCACAAACACAGACACAACACACAGACATCATGCACACCCAGAGACATAAAGACGACCTACGCACACAGACACAACCCGTACACAAAGACAGGCAGATATCTGATATCCCGGCTAGCCCAGCCAAGGGACAGATACAACAAACAAGTCCTAACAAACCCCAGGGGAGGGGGGGGGTGAGATTGCAAGCCAGGCCACAACCCTGAAGCTACAACAAAGCTCCCCCCACCCCGCAGACCATGGCGGGCTGGGATTGTTCCACCATCAATCTCCCAACGCTTCCGGACGTCACTTACGCCCTGGTCTTTCCAGCATCCCCACCCCCGAGTGCGCTGGGGCACCCAACATCACAGGAGTCTGTTTAAACTCCCGAGATTTCGTTTCACGAAGCACACGCCCAAAATCCCGAGGCGTTTTAACCACGCGTCAGGCTCCCCAGTCTCATGAGATGGGCTTTCCAATCACCATGGTTCAAATGACTATTTGTGATTCTGGGGGGTCCTGTTGATTTGCCTGCTGGTTTCCCAGCCTTTGGGTACCGCTGAAGTCCCGTTTCAAAGCCCTTTCCTCCAGCCGCTCGTGCGAGAAACAGGCTGGACTTCTGATCCTGCTGAAATCAGTGACAAACGCCGCTGCTTTCAAAGGGGCAGGTTCTACCCCTTCCTGACTGGAGACTCTCACATAACCCCTGACCACAGGAGCCGGGAATCCAAGGAAACCCCCAAATCGCACGAGACTTGGGACAAAATCCTGGGAGTTGGCCGCACTGTCTTTGATTCGTCTGTCTTCCCCGGCACAGAGCGGCCAACTCTTGCAATTTTCACACCTGTCTTCTACTATTTGGGGTCTCTTGTAAAGCCCCAGCACCTGGAGTCACGGGGCAATCCCTGAGTCTCTAGGCTTTAATAAAAAGGAAGTGGCTAGCCCTGGTGGGCGTGGAGAACGGCTTGTAAACATGAAGCGCCTGCAGGCTCCAGGCTCCGAAACCAGAACCACAAATAAGATTTCAAAATATATTATTCAAAACAAAAATCTCATGATTGTTGTGTGTCATGCATTTCTTGGGATGTCTCCTGGGTTCTGTCCCCGGCTCTGGGAGGGGAGTGGGGTCTAGTGGTTAGAGCAGGGGGGCTGGGAGCCAGGACTCCTGGGTTCTCTCCTGGCTCTGGGAGGGGAGTGGGGTCTAGTGGTTAGAGTGGGGGGGGGAGTGTTCCTGGGTCTGTCCAAGAGCCTTAGGCCTTGTTTTCATTAGGAGGAAAGGTTGGGGGAGGGGTAATTATGGCCTAATTCCACACATCTGGAATGAAAGTCCAGCTGTTCCTCCCTACACAGGTCCAATAACTCTGGTGTCATCTCTCTCACACACACAGAGAGTAGGGCTCAGCCTCTCCAGCAGGGACACACACACACACACACACTCTCTCTCTACTAAGTTGCTTCTTTCAACCAAACTGAATTCAACTCCAAGCCAGGGTCTCCATTCCCACCCCAGGGGTTCGCCCAGCCTCACTGTGTCTCGCACAAGGGTGATTGGAGAGTGTTTTGTCTCTTCTTGGGTCCTTGTCTTGCTTTGAGGTCCTCAGATGAGACACACGGCGCTGTCTGTGTCCCCCCCCCCCCCAGGGGTGTGTAGTTTTTAACCTTTCAGCCCAAACCATGCTGGGGAGAGTGGGGGGTGGGCACATCCCAGCTCTGCACAGGCCTGAATCCAGCCACTGGCCCTGGGGCTGACCAGGAACCCACGGGCAGCATCATGGAGTGAACAAGGAGCTGTACAAGTGTGCAATAGGCCAGCGAGTGTGCAATGAACTGGGGAGTGTGTGATTAGTGTGCAACCGGCCAGCGAGTGTGCAATGAACTGGGGAGTGTGCAATGACCATGCCCTGTTGCAGTGGGTGTGGAAGGGGCCATCACGTGTGTGACGAGTGTGCAATGAGAGTGCAAGGGGTCGGCGATTGTGCAAACGCGCGTGCATTGCACCGCCCCCAACACACGTGAGCGCTCCCAGACCCGGGCAGGAGGCGGGGCCTCGCCCCC